AGATTGCTAGTCCAAATTAATGGTGTAATAAAAGATAGTTAAGGTCACTTTTTGGGGGACCCAAAATATTTGGTTCCATACTACAGCTGAGGAAACACTCCTCTAAACCAACAATCAGAAAATAGCAGGGGTAAAGGAGCAATCAGAGGGCATTAGCACCTTGGAAAGGTGTAACTGCATCACTGCTTTCTGAACGCAGTGGGTTCCTTGCCTTGTGGCACTAGTAAAGACAATTTTTCTAGAGAATAATCTGACAAACCGGAAAGGTCTTAGGCCTAGATGGAAATACCCATTCTCCTGTGGTAAAAACAGTCTGAGTTTTGGCATACTCCTAATACTGTTAAATGAGTCTCCAAAAGTGAAAAAGTTATGGTAAAGAGTCTATCAACAGGCAGGCCCTGACCCAGTGGATAAAATTTGGGATTCACTTACTCAGTCCCTTTTCATGCTAACTAAGGAAAAGAGAATTCAAACAACCCATTTTAAGTTTGAGTTATCACGGTCAAATTATTACATATTTAGTACCAAGCCCTCAAATTTATCTTGCAACTCCTTCTTCACTACAAACAGAAGCATTTTCAATTGAACTTTATCAGTTTGTAAATGGAGAGCTATTTGTGATTCTTGGAAGAAGAAAGTGTTGAACCAGTAAAGCATGTGTAGTTCTCAGGTGCAGGTGGTTGGCTATATTCCAAAGATTTGTTATGACTGAGATAGGCAGTTTTTTCTTCTTGCCTTTTCTTCTTCATGAATCCTTTTAGGTGATCTTGATATGTCTTATGAGTGTTATCTCATTTCCATATCAGTCATGTAAAAGCTGAACCTGCATTAATTTTGTACCAATGATCTAGGCATCTTCCAGTTGCAATATTTGTATTCAATGAAGTTCTCCCTGCCCAAGCCCCTGAAGGCTTGGTTTTTGCATTAGTGACCCTGTGTCTCTCCTGTTTACCACTTTTGTGGTTCCTCACTCAACTGATTAATTGATCCTCAGTTAATTGTTCAGCAGCCACCCAGCCTTGCTGGTTGTGTGGATTGTGGAGTGGAAAAAAAGCTGTTTTTTAGTAAGGAGATGGTTGGTGAAATTGGGAGAATATTGCATGACTACTGTGTTGTTGACAGCTTTTAGTAGCACTCAGTTCATCATGTAGCATTTTTAGTTTGTGGTGTTGATTATTGTTATACACTGTTAATATACTTAAAACTTTTACAGGAAGCAAAAGAACGAAGTTGTTACTAAAAATCTTCTGTTGATACACAGTGTGCTGAGCATCAGTAAGGAAATGGAGTAGATTTGAATAAAAGGAGCCTGGGAAACTTCATTCTCCCTTTTTATTCTTAGGACATCCAGTTTTATGAAGTAATTAGCTTAAAAGTGGCTTCTGTCATATTCAGGTGCTCTCCAGCTCTTCTTTTTGCTATTTCTGATGTCAGTCACCAGTATCACTTACTTGGGAGGATAGCAAGCCATAAGCTCAGTATAGTCTCAGTAGTGCATGCTGTTGCTGAGGAAAAGGTTGGGAGAAAAGGGAACTGGTCAGCCCCTGGAAATCTTTCAGGCTTCTGGTATCATTTTCCCGTGCTGTAGTGGAAAAAATGTGTAATTGGTCTGTAACAGGGAAGTCTTGTATAAAGTCAATGTGTTGTATAATAAATCTAGTTTATAGTTAACATTGTTAACTACAGTTAACATTTATAGTTAACAATATTTTCTTGTTTTCATACCTCCTGTATGAGGAGAGGTGGTGTTAGCTGACAAGAGGACCAGAGCTCACCAGGGGTGGTGTGTTATCTCAGGAGTGCTTGTGACAATAGGTTACTTAGCTCTAGAAAAAGCTGAGGTTATGGGTAAGCCACAGGTTTGGGTGACCATAGTGCCATTGTGTAAATGTTTTCCGCTAAACTCCAAGCTTCTTCTTGTAATTTTTCAAATGATGTCATAAAAACTGATATAGTTCCTTTCTGCCTTTGTTTTACCTGTGTAAAAGCCAACAGTGTATTGAAGCCTGGTTAGGGTTTGTAGTGTGGAAACACCACTTCTAGCAGATGGGCTAAAACTATTACTATATCTTTCTGTCTTTTGAAGTATCATCTTAATAATTTTTTTGGGCCTGTAATTGTGAAGAAGGCTCTAATTTAGTGTGTTGTGTGTATCTTCTTAAATGAAGTTGCTGATACTTGGATTTCCAGCAACATTAGTATTAATCCCCATCCCTGAAGTTTTTGGAAGTGATCTGCTGTACCCCTCTCCTACACTTAGCAATGTGTGCTGAATTGGAGCATGTTAATTGCTGCTCAAAAGTTAAAGTTGAGTTCCATCTTGCACAACAAGTAGCCAACATTATAGCTGCTGCTCTGTGAATATAATACAACAGCTTGAAAAGAATGCTCCGTGAACACTTTTCCTTACAAAAAAAAAAAAGCTTTTGTAATTAGAAGTTACATGTGCTGTTACTTGATCAGATTTGAGGTTGGCAGAATTTTTATTTGTGTTTTCCAATTCAGGTTGTTGGAGGATTCTTAATTCTTTTAGATATGAAAACTTGGAGGTAGCATCAGTTTTCTTTGTACTATTTTTTGAACCTTATGATAGCAAACCTCCTGTATTTTCAGCTTTGTTATGTTTCTTTTTTTCATGTTCTGCTCCTTAACTTTTCATAAATCTTCTGTAGGGGTGAACCCTAAACACTGAAACTATACCTGTGTGATACCTTTGACTTCAAATCTGATAAATATAGTTATATTTTAACTTGTCAGCTGCCATTAGGAAATGAAGCCAAATGAACCAGCAATATGCTGTAGGTACTGTAAGCTTCCCTGGCATCTGTTGGAGACTTTTGACCTTTTTGCTACCTTTACTAATACTTTATTTTTCCTGTAGTCTGAGTTAATCTGATCAGATTGATTCTGTAGAATACCTCAGGTTGTATTCAAATCCAGCTGTAGTTGTTCTTGAAGTTCTGGGCAGCAGCTACAATATGAAATTCATTATTGCCCAGTGTGCACAAAAAAACTTGAGTACATTGCATGGGTTTTTGTGGGCTTCTGGCCTCTTCCCAAACAGTCAGCTAGCTGAACTGACAGTGCCTTCCTAAAGCTTGGACAGTCGAGTCAGTTTTCAGCTTAACTTTATTTCCTTCCTTAAGCAGCTGGGCTGTTGGGTGGTGGTGTGGTGGGAGGGGGAGGTTGAATGTGGTGTGGTAAAGAAGGAAGATTTGTATGTATTTCTGTGTGTTTGCTCTGAAGGCAGCAAGCAGGGAAGCCTCTAATGAGAATGGATTATGTACCTGTGAATGTTTGTTTTGCTTGAGGTGGTGAGCTAAAATGCCAGCATATGCCAGGGTGGTTTCTGTCTGGGTATTCTGTCAGTTTTGGGGAGGGTGATAATGCACGGGTTTGATTGTGTTCAAGTGCTGTTCCCAGTGATTGTATTAGGGGAGGAGTTAAAGGACAGCTGACCCACTCTCTTTCAAACTGGGGCAAATGGAAGGTTTGGCATGAATTGAAAAAAAGTATTGCTTACTTTTAATAAAAAAAAAAAAAGAGGAGCAAAAAGAGGAGAAAAAAATGGAATTGTTCAGTTTATTGATGTAGCTAGGATGCAAGGTGATTGTTTTCTGCACAGCAGAAATATATGTTAACTTATCCTAAGTGTCTGAAGAAGTAAAAGTGATGTGGATTTGACTCACTGCACTGTCAAATGCGCAGACTACGGAAAACAGTTGACATTTTTATTAAAGTGTTGCAAAATTTAACAGGTAAAATTCACAGTCAGAATTTTGTCTGTCTTTAAATGCTTCCCTTTGTACCTGGTCAAGTCTTTGAATTACTTGACTTCCTTTTCCAAGGGATTATGTAATGCATTCCCAATTTATATGTAAACATCAGGTTGCCTCCTATTTGCAAAAGTTTATCTAATTTTCTTGCTTGTCTCACAGTCCCACTTTTAAGCTCTCTTACATGTTAAAATCTTCAGGATGTGGCTTTTTACTTTTAGATTGCACTTATATGGGTCTCTCTTTTGTATTTTTGGAAACACTAATTAAGAAGTGGAACAAATTGTACATAAAAGAATTGATGATGATGATTGAATAGTTCACACATACTTAAAGGAAACTACTACATTTGTGCTGCATCAGAGCACTGAAAATCATGTTGGATGTACAGGGTTTTTTACAGTTTTTTTCTGGAGAATTTTCAAGCTATGGAATTTTAAAATTCCTGGAATTTTTCAAGCTACGAATTTTATAAAGAAGAAAAAAAAACCTTCCCCCTATAAACTAGATGTTCCGGAGTGGTGGACTCTGCTGCATGATGAGACTTGTTAAAAGCAGTTGAAAGTGCTTGATCTGTCTTCAGGGTAAATTTAAAAATACTAAAGTGCTTTCTTTTACTGTAGTTTGGCACTGTAGAAGAACAAAAAGAAACTGCTGCCTAGGCAAGTTGTGGCAAGTATGTCAGCTGCATACAAACTTCTATTGTGAAGGAATCTGCTGAAGTTCTCAAGGCTTTGTTAGGAAGACCCAGCTCTGAAGTATTTTGTTTCTTTTTCTGACCACATCCTCCTGCTAACTGAGCAGATGAAAAAAAAAAAACCCAAAAATCAGAAAAGAAATTAATAAAAGGACTAATATGAAAAAATTGATTCAGAATTACTTGCATTTTAGAATGGTTAGATATGGTTAATAAAAATATGATTGTAACTAAAGTGCAATTAAAACCTTTCATAAGGAATGGATGCATGTAGAATATGCTGAGCATGGGAAACCAGATGTTATTTTGGTGTCAGTTTTAATTTTTCTCTTTCATGGGGAAAAAAATCATTAAAAATAATTAGCTTCTGAGCAGAAGAGCAATTTTGAAGACAAATGTAACAAATAGATTTTTCTGGTTTTTGACTTTTAAATGATAAATTTAGGATTCTAAAGCATTGAGAAATTGTTGACATATCTGTTAAATGTCTAAGGTTTGATTTTTTTTTTTTCTCATTTCTTTTTCAGAGTTTTGTATTTCATTTGTCTGTACTGTGTTTGGAGATCTTTCTCCAGTTTTTGGCTACACACCAGCCGACTCAAAGCTGTTTACATCTTTGTCTACTCCTACATCTCGAAGCACAACGTTGGACTCGTGGGGAAAATGTCTTGATGGATCCAACCTAAGTGTGGTAGCTCTCGTCAGTGGTTAACAATGGCTTCTAAGTGGTAAGTCTTTCTCACGGTAGTGTCATAAATAGATTTTCATCTATCTCTTTCTGTTTTGCTTGTCTGTGTTGTACTGTGAACACACCTTGGGCTGCTACTTCAGCTGTCAGTTGTCTGACTAGAAGTCTGTCTGTACTGTGTTCAGCCCAACAAGAACATTTGTTTTAATACGGTGCAGTGACTGACCATGGCCAAAAGTGAATGCCTGAGGAAGAGGTCAGGAACAAGGCAAATAGCCTCCCTGTCGTCTGTGTGGGGACTTCCGAAGCCAGATGTGGTTTCTGTGCAGTTAGTAATTCTCGAATTGTCTTGAATCGGTATTTCTTTGTGTAATTTCTGCATGTTCAACAGGTCTCTCAAGTTCTCTTTCTCGAGGGTCGGTGCTCCGCGCGGGTGGGAGTTGGTGGGAGCGGGGCCCTCCCGCCTGTGGGTGTGCGGGCGGGCGGGCGCCTGCGCGCTGCCCCCCTGTGGCTGCGGCCGGTACTGCAGCCCGTTGGCTGGGCGGTCATGGAGCGCCTTGGGCTGGAAGGGACCTCTGGTTCCTCAGTCAGAGTTCTCAGTCCTCAGTCAGTGCCATGTACAGATGCTCGTTTCTTTGCTGCTTTGCATGGAAGGATTTTACCTTAGGAAATTTACCTTAGGATTTTCCAGTAGGAAATAGATAGGCATTGATGCCAAGTACAGGGCAACTATTGTCCCTAAAGCACTTCTGAGCTGAAATGAGTATGGATAGATCCAACCAACATCTAAACTGTCCTTCAAAAATAACATAACACACTGCTTTTCTATAGTCAAGTGGTAAAACTGATAGACCGTGCTTTCTTTGGGCCTTTGAGAGCAGAGGGTACATTGGTGTGACAGGACGAAAATATTGAAGTGCTGTTGTTGATATTATATTTACTATGTGGACTTTTGTATTCAAGAAAATTTTATTATTTATATATTCTATAGTATTTTGTAGAATGTAATAGAATATTTTATTACTAACTGCCATTAATAATTAGAATATATATGTTATATAATATTTACTCATAGCTCTCACTTTCCTCTATTTTTTATTGTTCTATATATTCTGTGCAGAAGAAAAGCTTGGACAGAAGAAAAACTTACAGTAAAAAATTATAGTAATGTTCTCAAACCCTCTGCCTCCATTGTTCTGCTTCATTTAAAAGATTGATTTGGAGTTCCTCCTGTAATGTTCAAAGATGTACTTGCCATTCTTGAGCAATAGCAAGATATGGTGTATAAGGTAAACTTCTGCAGCAACAAATCTATTATACATTGAGAGAAAGAATACTTCAGTACAAAAATAATTATGGTATAAAATTCTAACAAAGCACAGTTAAGGAGGTCAGCACGTTACATCACTGGAAATGAAAAAAGTAACAGAAGAAAACATGGTACATGATATACTGGAGATGTTTAAAAACGAATCAGGTTTTTAACAAATCAGGTTTAAAACAAATATTCTTAGTACTGGGTCCTCAGCTTTTCTATCTATTGTCTTCTGTAATAAAAGCCTATTGTGTTTTCTACAGGCAATAAATGTTTGGGGTGTTAGGTGTTGTTTTTGTTTTGCACTTTGAGGAAGTGGTCTTTCAGGGTCTATTTTCCTGTTGGAGAATGCACAGAAAGTTTTATGCAAGTGCATTCCTTTAGAAATATGGGTGATAGGGAGAAATAATACAGATGGAAATATGTGCCAGTTGCCATTCTTCTTCGGTGTTGCTAATTTACCTGCAGTCAGTTTCCTGATCCACCTTGTTGCTCAGGGCTTTGTCCAGTCAGGTCTTGAAAAGCTCTCATGGCTTCTCTGCAGAATTTTCTGGAGCACCAGTGATGCTGAGAAACCTATTTCTGTAAAAGCAATTCCTGAACATATTCAAAATAAGAAATGTGCCTGTTAATACTTCACAAGCATTTTTGCAGGTGTAGCAAATAAGTTTGGTTAATTTCTTTTCCAGCATTATTAATTGAGGATCATCATGAGGAGAAAAAGTATAGTGGTTTTTTAATGCATTTTATTTAAAAACAAATATTTCTTATTCTTCCTTTTGTTTTTTCTTCTCCTTAAATAATCATTTAGGATTAAAGAAGTACTTATTAGTCACTTGATAGTCTGCTCAGCAGTTTCTTTAGTTTGGTCAATATAAATTCTAAAATAGATATTGAAAAAATAAATAGGAAATTTAAGTTCTTTTTTTCATCACAAAGTTTCTATTAAGATATAGCTCAGTGGGCCTCAGTGACTTTTAATAAGGCTTTCTGTGGGCTTTCCCCCTTGCTTCCTGCTTCATTTGACATTTGTTCTCACTCTGATGCCTGACTAGAGAGGTGTGTTTCTGCTGAAGAGCTGAAGACCATACCTAATTGTAGTGAAAATGACTTGCAGAATGCCTCACACTCGATGCCTCCTGTTGTTCAAATAATGTGGAACATCTGAAACACATCTACCAAACAAGAAGATGGAAGTCTAACAGGGACACAGAAGAGATGCTTAATCTGTGAAATGGGAAAGTGGCTGTCAGACTAGAGGGGAAAAAAAACGTTCAACCTTACTTAGGACTTACTTTTCCTAGGATTCGGTGGACTTTGTGCTTTGTTTTTGTTTGTTTGGGTTTCCTTTTTAGGCAGCATTCAGCATTCATAAATTTTTGTTTTCAACATTTTGTAAGATTTTTTTAAACTTATTTTCTTGCATAAAGAACAGCGATTTATCTTGATAATGAACAATAAATTTTAGTGTGATTGCTTTTTTTTCTTTTGACCACATTTAAAAAAATATAATCTGCTTTTGTATTGAGCCTAATATACAAGGCACTACCTTTAGGTGTCTTTTAACACCTAAAATGAAATACATTTGGCCTTCAAAGGGGCTAGACCTGTGGTGGATTTTTTTTGGCAGTTTCATTGTGAATCAGCAGAAATACTGTGGAGAAGAACTCTGTATGCTAAGTCATTTTGCTCTTGCTTAAAATTGCGCTATTACAGCCCTTTTTAATCTGTATATATACACACATGTATACAGCTATTTGTATCCATATATATCTTCAACCCTCATTTTTAATGCTTTTTTTGGTCAGGCAGCTGTTACATATTGGTTGTGGAGATGCTGCTGTTCTTCTTTTGCAGCCAGCAACTGTTTGCTTGAAAGCAATTCACTTGGAGAGGTGCTTAATTTAAAAGTAACAGTAACTTCTACCTTAAGGTGTGGGGTAACTGTACAAGTTGCAGTAAAGACTCCATATTGCAGTTTGAATTTATGATATATAATGGAATGGAAACCAGAAATCTTTAAGGAACTGGAAAATGCTTATTCCTTGATTAGCAGCTAATGGAAACACTGTATGTATTTAAACAAAACAAGTATGTCCAAGATAAGAAAAATGATTTTTTTTTCCCAGAGGTTTGGGTACAGCACAAGTGATGTATCTACTTCTGATACCTCCTAGGTAGCTGCAGAGCTTTCCTGTGGAAGCTCTGAGTTGGCCTCCCTTGTGCCCCTGCTCATCAGGGCTTTATACATCTTGCCTCACTTGGCCCAGGGCAATTTCCATGTACAGTGCACCACTGGTCATTAAGTTATTGTTCCTGCTGTGGTTAGTTCCTCCTCAGTAATGCTCTAGCTCAGAAATGCATAATGACGTGCAGCAAGCCTCACTTCTGATGCAGAACTGTTCTTCGATTTGAGGCACTCTGTAAAGAATATAAGGATTCAGTCTAAGACATACAGCAGAGTTAAAGGAGGAATAACAGGGTTGTGTGAGGAAAGGAGCCTTCTCCCATTCAGGGGTACTTAGCTCCTATTCTTAATTGTAACCACATTTAGTTGGCTCCTCTGTAAGAGTGATGAAAGGTAATCCTAGCATGGACAAAATGACAATTGTCACACCTCTTTAACATTTCCTTTAAGAGGAAGTGATTCCAGTTTGTGAATTTTTTTAGCAAAGAATCCTCTTGTGTTTCACTACTACAATTACTAGTTTTTTGTTATTAAAAGTCACAAGTGAAGAAAGCACTCAGGTGTTCTTTAGTCTTTCTGTTCTCATCAGATGACTGGAGCATCACTTCTTTAAATAAAGGAATTCTTCCCTTTTTTGGTGATCATGTTCAGCCAGGTCCTTAAGTTTTAGTTTCCTCTCTTTCCCTTCAAAGGCAAGTGATTTTTTTCCTTCCTGCTTCTAACAGGAACAGGCTTAACCTCTCCTTCAGATAGGTAATACAGCAATTCTCCTCCATGATAAGGATACTTCCATAAATCTTTTACAACACATGTAATCTTGTATGTGTTTCTTCTGGCATTAGAAATTAGAATAATCCTTTAAATCAGATGATATATGTGAGTAAAAAGTATGCCACCACTCTTAGTATGTCTGTTCCATAGATCCACCTTAAGGTGTGGTACTTGGGTAGAACTACTGGTACATGGAAGTGCCTTTTGAGCTTTGCTGTGGCCCCCAGGTGACTGTCAGAATGCCTGGGCAGCAGAGCTGGTGTGTAGGAACAGTAACTTTGCCTTGATTGCTGTCTTTTAAGCCAAGTCTGTTAACTGTCCTCCTGAAGTTGCAAAGTCAGTGTGCTGTGTATTGCTTCTGGGTTTTTTATTTTATTTTTTGGTGATCTTGTTTACTGCTCTTCAATTTTATAAGCTTTACTGTGATAATATGGCTATATTTAGCAAACAAACCTGCATGGTTGTGCATAAGTTGTTTTCTCTTGGATGGCTCAACAATTTTTTTGTTTAGTTCCTTCATCCTTGTGTGTTTACTTACTTAGTAACTTTGATATACTGAGAATTAGTTATTCTAGCAGTGCATTTAGTGACTGTGTTTAGTTATTTACTAATAATCAAAAGTTGTTTGGTTTCAAACTTTGGTTTTTTTCCTCCTCTTCTTCCTAAAAACATTTTTGAAATTTAATTTAGTACCTTAGTTGGACCCCTGTTTCATCCAAGTATGTTGTATTTTTCCAAACAGGAAATTAGATTTCATCTAACATCT